AGCAGTGGTATCAACGCAGAGTACTGTTTTTTTATCTCTCCTGATGCGTTGCTTGCAGCTTTTTTGCCTGCATCCAGAGAAGATTTATTTATGAAATTCATCATTTTTGTTGTGTCGAATCCGTCGATATTTGACAACTTTTCACAGAATTCTAAAGTCCATTCGTCTCCGGCTTCAATTCCATTTTCGGCAGCATCTTTGGCGATTTCTTCAAGTGTTTCTTTAAAGGCTTTTTTCTGAGTTTCGTTTCCTATCTCTACCGCTTTTTCATATGCAGTCAAAGCTTCTTCAAGCTTGTTTTTATACGCTTCTCGAATCTCATCTGACGAGGAATTCGCATTTTCAATGATTGCGTCGTTTACACTTGCTATAGAATCAATTGTTTTCTGAGCACCTTCATAATCTCCGTTGTAATACTGCTCTTTTGCTTTCGCTACCTTGTCAATCAATCTTGCTGATTCTTCATATGCTTCATTGATTTCATCAAGCTTTTTTAAATCTTGGTCATAAAGAGTAATGAGTCCATTGTCCCCGAAAAATCTTTCAAATTCAATATCGCCTATGCCTTGCATAGTATCTTTAAGCTGGTCGATATTATCTTTAATTTTGTCTATATCAAAGATTTCGATATCCTGAGCACCTGTAGCTTCACCAATTTCCCTCAGATATGCAAAAGTTTCTTCAATTTCTTTTTTTCTTACATCTATGCTCTTTTGCAAAGCGTTTGCCTGCTGACCATAGCCTTTAATTGTCGGCATTTGCTTCAATTTCAGCACCTTCAAAAGATTCCATTTGTGCTAAGATTTTTTTTTGCTCGATAACATCTTCAATGGATTTTCGCATTTCTGCATATAAAGGTATTATGCCGTCCTCAATCTGGCTTTTCTCTATACCTAAAGCATTTGCCAAATCGTTTTAGGATTACATCTACTCTATCTTCATATCCTTTTTTTTCTCTTCCATTAGCATCAACGTATTTATCAAGCTCGTCAACAAGCTTACTGGTATTATCAAGCTCATAAACTCTTGACTGAGCATTTCTTTTGAAGATTCAACAGAACTTTCCCATGCTGAGATTGTACTGTTGACACTATCTGCAAGCTTATTTGAGCTGTCTGCAAGCTTCTGTGTTTCTTCCCTCATTTCTTTGAGCCTTGTTCTTTTCATAGCTGTATCAAGTGCCTCAAACCCTATAGCCAACGCTCCAACTGCGGAAACAATTAAGCCGACAGGATTTCCGAGACTGCTGAATCCGCCTTTTAGATCAGAAAGAATACCACCTGCGTTCTTAGCTGCTGATGTAAATTTAATAAGATTCTGAGTGATAGTATTGATTTTTTTAAAGCTTGCAATTGAGATAACAACTCGACAATCTCATCCCCGAATTTTTCAAAAATCTTCGTTAATCCTGACAACAAGCTTGCAAATGGTCTTAACATTGGTAATTGTCTGCCAATTTCTTCAGCAAATGCCCTTATAATCTGAAACGCTGCCCTCGTGATTTTTGGAATGTTACTTATGAGAAAATCCGCAAACTGAATTAGTAAATCTGCTGCTGCTTTGCCGATATTGTCGGAATTCGCTCCGATACCCTCACTAAGCTTGTCGATGAACAGCGTTCCGATTGAGAAAAATTCACTTGCATTTTGCAGAATGAATTCTGGAAGCTGAGTGATTACGCTTGTAATAGCTTCAAAGATTCTGTCAGAATTCTGTCTGATGCCTGATGCAATCGAAGTCAAGAAGTTTGAACCGAGTTCAAAGAAATCAGGTGCTTTTTCAGCTGCAAAGCTGAGAATGTCAACAAAAATATTAGAAAACTCTAATACAATTCCGTCAATTCCGTCCATTTTAAAAGCTTTTTGCAGTCTTGAAAGGTATTCTATACCTTTTTCTACAGCTGATTTTAAAGGCTTTTCCATGCCTGTATAGACAACGATTCCGAGATTCTGAGCTGATGATTTCAACATTCCAAGCTTACTGTCAAGCGTTTCATATCTTTTGGTTGCACTCATTTACAAGTGCCGAATTTTCTTCCCACGCTTCGCTTGCAAGGTCAACGGCATTTGAAAGCAAGTCACCTGATGTACTTAATGCAAGCATTGTGTTGCTAAGCTGGATCTGGTCTAAGTCCCATTCTTTCAGCCATGCTGTAGCTGTTCTTCCTGTTCTCTCTGTGTCTTGCAATCCCTGTGTTACTGCGTTAAGTGCCTTTAAAAGGGTTGCTTTTCCAAGCTTCAACGAAAGCATCTGCGGACATATTCGCAACCATAGCAACTTCTTCAAGTTGCTTAACTTCATCATCTATGCCGTATAGTCCTGTCATCTGCTAAGTCGTTGAAAATTTTCAAGATTCTTGACATTGCAGAGCCACCAGCTTCAGCATTGATGCCTAATGACGATAAAGCTGTTGATGCTGCAAGGATATCTGTTTCGGAAAGTCCGATAATTGTTCCTGTTGATGCCATTCGCATTGACATACTTACTATATCCGCTTCTGTTGTTGCGAAATTGTTTCCCAGTCCTACAATTGCAGAACCAAGTTTATCGTAACTATCTGCCGACATTCCTGTTATGTTTGCGAACTTCGCAAGCTGTGTTGCGGCTTCTTCCGCTGAAAGGTTCGTTGCTGTTCCGAGGTTCGTCATTACTCTGTAAATGTTTAGGATATCGTCCGTAGCAATACCAAGCTGTCCTGCGGCTTCTGCTACTGATGCAATATCTGATGCCGATTCTGGAAGTCTCTCAGACATATCAAGAATTCCGTCTCTCAGCATTGCAAACTGTTCTTCCGTGCCGTCTACAGTTTTTTTAACTCCTGCAAAAGCACTTTCAAACTTCTTTCCTTCATTATATGCAGCAATTCCAAGTCCACTTAATGCCGTTGCTGATGCTGTTATAGCCGACAATGCAGCCTTTGAGATACCGCCTATGGTTTTCCCTATGCCAGAGGCTATTGATGATGCCGAAGCACCTATGTTTTTCATTCCGTTAAGAACCTGCTCCGAGTTGACAGAAAAGTCAACGTCAATCAGGATTCTTCCGTCTGCATCTGCCGTTTCAATCCCTCCTCTCTGAGTTTTCTTGCATATTCTTTGTAGTCTCTTCGCTTGCTGTAAGTTGGAGCTATCAAACTATACATTCTTTTCATTTTTCCGTAGTATTGTGCTTGTTCTTTTGACATCTTAGATGTGTCGATTCCACGAAAGCTTATAATCTGGCATATTTTATGTTCTTCATTAAGCCCGAAAAAAAGCTTGATAAATTCATGCCAATGCAGTCTTGCTGTGTTTAGGTCTATGTTGTATTGACTGAGAAATGCAGCTGAAATCAAAGGAGCATCTTTTACAAAGTCAATAACTTTTGTGGTTTTTCCACTTGCTGTAGAATTGCGTTAAACTGCTTTCAAATGCTTTTGAGTAAAAAGATACTATAGCTTTCATTGATGAATCTGTAAGCGGAATTCTATGCTTCATAGCCATTCTTATAAGCTCTTCTGATGCTTTTTTCTTGTCTGCTTCAACAGTTTCAGTAAACTTCGCCCAGAATCGGAAATCTGTTTCTATTTCGTATTGTTTTCCGTCAATTTCTACGTAATCAGGTGATTTTTCATACATTTTTCAACCCTTTCGCAAGTGTCTGAATTCTGTTGAAGTCTCTCTGCCTTCTATAAGCATCAAGAATGCTGGTTACTGCACTTTCAAGATCTGCAAGGTCAATTTCAGAAATTTTCTTGTCAAATTCCTTGCATTTTGGGACACATTCCTCAACGAATTCGATACAAGCTTTGTAAAATTCCTTTGCGGAAATTTTTCTCTCGCCTCGTTCAAAACATATCGTTTCAAAGAAATCAATCTTTTCCTGAACAGAAAGAATACGGGGAGTAAGCTTATATCTTACTCCCCGTATTTCAGCAATTGCAGGGGAGATTGACTGAGATTTAACTTTTTTACTCATATCATTCTCCTTTCATGCTTAAGATGATGCCTTAGTTGGCCATGGATTAAGTGCTGTTTTGATATTGAATTCCTCAGGCTTTGCACCTGTCTTTCTCAGCTCGATTGAGATTGATGCGTTATCCTCAGCATTGCCTGAGCCGTCAGAAGTAACATTCACAACAACCTGTCCCTTTTCACCTCTGCCGTTCTTTAAATTGAAGTAGATGTAAGGCTTCACAACTGTATTTCCTGTGCCATAAAGCATTGTGTTAGAGAAAACATGATCCTGAAAATCGTCTCCGATTACTCTGTCACCTGTAATAGTGAATGTTCTCTGTGTGCCTGTCTTTGCTGTTGAAGTTCCTGCTCTGAGGTAAACCTTATCTACAGTATTTGAAGAGAAATTGCTTTCAACACCAGATATGTGGTCTTGAACAACCATATAATCTTTGATATCTGGCTCTGGTGATGTGTGTGATGCAATAGCAAGCACCATGTCATTAGTGCCAAGCTCGCCGACATAGTTTTCTCTTATATCGTCTTTGCTGAATTCAGCCATAAGCTCTGCAATAGTCATGCTTTTTATCTTCCTTTCTTTTATACTGAATATCTAACCCTGCATCCAAACATGATTTTTGCGGAAGCACCGTCTTTATCAATGCCTGCAACATGAGGGATATTTTGAAGTGTTTCAATTTCAATTATTTTCTCGTTTTGAGAAAATTTCGGGAAATTTCCTTTTAAATTCTGTTCTGAAATCCAGTTCATAAACCTTTCAACATTGAAAAATTCGTCTATATTCACAGTAGAAGTGCCTGTGTCATGCGGAACAATCATTATAACAGTAAATTCATACCGCTTTATTCCGTGACCTCTCATATACTGCTTTTCCCATTTCTCCGAGGGTGAGGCAGAAAATGAAACGTCTCCGACTGTGTTTTCGTTTGAATCGAATTTTAGATAGCTTTGCAAGTCTGGATATTGCGAAAGAAACTCCCACATTGCATGTGATTTGTTGATTTTTTCGCTCATAATCTTTGCTTTATGTACTCCTCAATTTCTTTCATGAAGCTGTCCTGTTTTTCCGTCCACATATAAGAATCCCACTTATTTGTTGCTTTCGGATGATAATCTTTGCGGAAATTCCAGTTGTTATAGTAACAATCAACAGCGTATGGTGCTTTGTACAACACTCCTTCCACTGTTATTGATACGTCTTTTGAAAGCCTGCCTGTTCTGAACGGCACAAACTCATCACAGTAAGCGTGAAGTCTTGTATGTGCGAATAATCTCAAATCTGGATTATCAACCTTTGTTTTGATTTGAGACGGATTAAAGGAGATTTTATATCCCATATCAGATGCCTTCTGCGTGAAGATGAGGTATTATGCTAAAAAAAGTATTATCCGTCACAGCTCGCAACATCACAGAGTTTGGCTTTTTTTCATTATATAAAGCTGTGATTGTATTCGCATTTACTTCATCGTCAACATCACCAAGGAAAATGTAATCTCCAGCACTTAAAGTGAATCCGTTTAAGTCTCTTTTCCATTCAGAATACGGCTTATAAGCTTCATTTTCAGGAATTCTGATAGTTACTGACGAACTAACATTTGCTGTATTTCCGTCAATACTTCGCCTGATTGTTCTTTTAAAAAAACAGTTTGTGAGGACTGTTTTTTTATACAAATCGGTCTTTGTCGGATTATCTTTGCCCGACAGTTTGTTGAAAATAGTGATTTTCTGATTCCACCAACCGGGATAATTATTCAAGGCATTTCACCGCCCTGCTTCGTGTGTTAATCTTTACATCTGCAAGAATTATCCGAATCCTTGACAATGCAATCCTCAGAGGATTTTCACCTTCTGACTGATACGTCACGCTCAATCCATCATTACTCATGCTCTGCGGAGTAGGTGTTTCAGTCTTCTGATAAGCGTTAAGGAGTAACATCATACAAGTTATAAGCGTAGACTCAGGAGGCAATGCGTCACCGATTATGCTTCTTATTTCAGCCTCAGCAAGGCTCTCATAAATACCGAAATCAGTCTCGGAGAACGTTCCCCCTTTTGCTTTATAAGTAGAATAATCTATGTACATTGCCTTGCTCCTTTGTTTATTCCGGAATTTCTACTGCCACGTATTCGTTGCCGTCAACAACTACATTACCGCTTATAATCTTTTTTGTGCCAAGTTTGACTGTGTACTCATATTCACCATCAACTGCATTGAAAACTGCCTTTCCCTGTGCATCGGTCTTCTTTACAACACCTGCACATTCAATCTTTGCACCCTCGTAATTTTCCTCTCCCTTTGTTGCTGTAAAGGTGATTGTTCTGTAGGCAGGGGCTACAGAAGGTGCAATTGAAGCGAATGGGAATCTCACGCTCTCATCTGGTGAAAGTGCGTTGATTGGGTTCGGAATCTCCCAGCCAAGTCTCATGGTGAATCTAAGTGCAACCATATCCTCCTGTGGCAGATTGTGAAGGATTTCTCCGTCTTCATCCTGGATTATAGCCTGATCAAGAAGTTTTACACGGATATCGTCTCTTATTGCGTATACCGCCTGAGAGAAATCGCCGACTATCATCTGCGATTTTTTCTTATCCCATGCACCGTTGTTAATCACTTCACGCTTGATATTTCCAATTTCTGTTCCTGCTACTGGCTGCCCTGTTGTATCAAGCATCATGCGGAACTTTCCAGCCATATCTGCCCCGCCAACAAAACGATTAACTGTATATCCGCTTTCCTCAACTTTCACCATTGCATCGTTGATTAAGCTGTAAAGTGTCTGCCCAGATGTAGGGATCACCTCTGCACCTGCATTCTTGATTGATGTGAGAAGTCCAGCTCTCCATGATGCAGGCTTGTTAATACCGAGGAATATTGCTTCATCAATCTTAGCGTTGAAAGCTTCGATAACTCTCGGCTCAATCTGTCCCCAAAGGTCATAAGCTGCATCGTCAAGGAGATTTTCCTTGATTGGAACGATAACTGCAAGCTCAGCAGCTGTGATATACTTCTTATCCCATGCCATGTGCGTGAGTGACTTTCTGCCGTTCTCGACACGCTCATCAACCCACTGTGCAGAAGGTAGTGCTGCAAGTACAGGCATCTGCTTAACGTCTGATGTCATGTTTGGGAGTTTTGTCATTACAGCAAGTGCCTTGCTTGATGTGGTTACTCCCTGAATAATCTTTTTTGAAATTTCTGGCTCAATAAGAGCTTCTACATTGTCTCTTGAAAGACCCTGCCAACTCATAATTATTTACCTCCTCGTAATCTGCGTAATCCAGCATTTATAAAGTCATTCGGATTGCTGTTATTCTTTGAAGCCCCAAGATTTGGAACAGAATTCAGCATTGCAACAACATTCTGAGTGAAGAATTCTGGATTTGATTTCTTAAACTTTTCAAGATTTTTTTCAAAATCTCCGTCCATTGCTGATACTTCTGACAGCACGAACTTTGCGAATTTCGGATTGCAATCTGCTTTCATTACGGATTCTTTTCGTTCTGAATTAAGCTTTTCAGCTTTAAGCTCTGCAATCTCCTTGTTTGCAGCATCAAGCTTTTCCGCTTCTGTCTGCTGTTCTGACTTCCATTTTCTGAAAGCATCCATTTCCTCAGCTGTCGGATATTTCTTGCTTTCTCTTTCAAGTCTTTTAGAAATGATCGAATCCATTTCAGCCTGAGTGAAAGTCTTTTCTGTTGATGTTTTTCCCTCTGAATTAGCGTTCTGAGTACCGCCCTGAGCCTGTGGCTCTGTAGTGTTATTATTATCCATTGTTACCTCCGTTTATTGCTCGTCAGCGTTTATATAAAGCGTTTTACGCTATATAACGTATTTCGTTCTGCTCATCATCGGTGTTAATCCGACCTGATTACAGAAGTCTTTGTAGTTGTTAAGCTGAGCATTCAGCTTCATTTCTGCCTGATTTTTCAAGGCTGTATCACCAGATTTTTTAAAAGCGTTGTATTCTGACCGTGTCTTTTTCTTATCTCACGTTCTCTTGCTCTCATCTTCTGTGATGCTTCATATCTTGTACACTCTTTTCCATTGTAGCTTACAATCTCATTACTGCGGTTTTTCGCCTCTTCAATCTCTGCTTTGCTGTAAAGCGGAGTAGAAATTGAAAGAATGCAGTATGAAATAAAGTGTTTGCAGTTAAGTGTTCCGATAGGTCTTGATAGGCTTGAATCAATTTCGTCATACTCTTTCAGGCTGTACTGATTGCCCTGAATCGCTGATGGTCTGGAGCACCACAAAGAGTGCATTGATACTTGTACTCCGTCAGCTCCAAAGATACCAGCGTTGTGTTGCTGTAGTTTTTCATTAAGCCTGTTTATACCTTCATCAACATTCATTCTGATATGAGAATCAGCACGTCTTACGACTGCTTTACCTTCCTCAGAATCCCATTTAAGCGTTTTAATGCCACTTTCAGCAAGCTTGTTTACTCGCTTGTGAAATAGCTTTATCAATGCTCACAGAACCGCTTGCAACCCTTTCTACAGCATCATTTACGATTTTTCGGGTAAGCATTTCCGATTTCCGTAACTTTACCGCCATAAGTCATAAGCATAAGTGTGTGATAAGTTCCTGAGATTGTTCACAGTCTCACTTCTTATGCTTTTGACAAGCTGAATTGTGTCATTTCTCTTCATAATTTCAGAAATTTTTATATTTCTGTAGTCAAAATACTTCTTTGCATCTGCAAAAATATCCTTTTCAGCTTTATCAAATATCTGTGCAATTCTGAATCCGAATTTTCTGTTTTGCTTTGCTATTTCTCGCTTGATATATCTGATATCCTCAGATAAAGCGTAAGCTGTATCTAATTCAGAAGACAGTTTAAATAGCTCATTTTCTGTTATATCTCGCATTGTTTCAAGCCGTTCTGCAACCCCTTGCCAGTATTGCATCTTGCATTTCTGCAAAGTCTTGCATAATCTCTTCTGCAAGCTCGTCCGACCATTCTTCATCATGAATTCTACTCATTATTATTCAACATTACTGTTTTCATATCTTCAATCTGTTCTTGTCTTACTTCTTCAATTTTTTGTTTCGCTGTTTCTTCATCTTCTCCGAATACGCTCATTCTGTACTCAACGGAAGAAATTACTCCTGAATTCCTTTTCTCTAAGCTTACGCTGTGACTTAATATCCTGTGATTCAAATTGTGCTAAGTCGAATTCTATAATCAATCCGTCAGGGTTGATATTTTCACTTGTAAAGGTGTTTGCTGCATTGATTAAAGCCGTCAGGAAGTCATATAACTCGTTTTCAAGCTTTGTTCTATGCTTATCCATCTTTCTTCTCAACTCAGCATTTGTGCTGTTGATCTGCGTTGCTGTTGACATTGTTGCAACATCAAACTTGTACATTTCTTTACCCATTCCGACAAGATTTGATGTTGCAGAAAGAGCAGTATTTAATGCAGAAATAATTTCCTCAGTTCTTAAAGGACTTGTTTCCGGCTGAATTAAATCTTCTGATTTCATTCCGTCTGGAAGTAACTGAAAAAGAATATCGTTTGAATCGAACACAGGTTCTCCGTTTATTGTTTTGCACAAACTTTCAGAAACAAAAAGCCTTTTTCTTCCGAGGTTGATTTCGTTGATAAGCGAATCATAGCAAAAATCAACACCTTTAAGTGCATCAATCGCATTTGCAAAGATACTGATTCCAAGCGGATAATCGAACGGGACTTCGCTTTCGTTAAAGATATTTTCAGCAATTGCAGGAGATATAAGCACAAACCAAGGTTCAGCAGATTGTGTGTGAAATTCTTTGAAAGTGCCGAAAATTTCAGTTATTTCGTTATCTGCATCAATAATTCTGTTTGAATTATCGACTTCAAAAACGTGGTTATAGATTACGTATTCTCCATTTCTCGGCAAATGTACTGAAATTACAGCAAAAGTCTTTTTTTCAACTTTTTGATAAGACACAAAAGCACAAGCTGTGCATTTCTTGTTTCTCCAAGAAAGCGGATAAATCTTTTCAACTTCAACTGTATCAATTTTTACTGTGGAATTATTTGTGCTTATTCTTCCTGATTCATCAACTTCGATATTTGTAACATTCGCAATCAAAGCCATAGTGCCGATAGCAAAAGCTTTTTCACAGGTCTGATTTATAGTAATTGCCCATGAATTTTTATTCAGAATATTTTCAAGTCTTCTGTTGCTTTCCTCGTCATTTACACGAACACGGCAATTAATGTTGTAAAGCACGTCTGCCCAGTCTTCGCACACTTTTTTTGCCATTTGTAGTGATTTTCGCTGCACTTCTATATGCTTCTGCCCGTTATAAACCTTGTAACGATTCCAGTAATTATTGAATCCTTTATACCAGCTTCGCCATATCTCTATCTGAGAATTCCATACTGTTCTCAGGTCTGGATTGAATCCGTAATTTTCTTTAAGAAATTCTGTTACTGTCAATTTTTATATTCACTTCCTTTAACAAGATAATTTGCAAATGGATATAATGCGTATTCAAACGCATCAAGACTGTCAATGTCTGATGTTCCATCATCAAGTCTTTCGTCAGGGTGCTTATCGCTCCACACAGCCTCCTGAAAGGCTTTTTTCATAGCTTTGCAGTCCTCAGAGATAAACAACCTATGCTCCGCCATAAGCTTCTGAGTGAGTTCTATACGCTCTAATATCGTGCCTTTGTCGCAGTCTCTAACTGCAACAGGTATGTTATTTTTCTTGCAGTAAACTAACAAATCTTTGTTGATAATAGAACCTAAACCGCCCCAGTCAGCGTACACATATTGACATTTGCTGACGAGTGAAACAACGTGTTTGTAGAATCTGTGAAACAACTTGCAAAGCTTTTCCGAATCATAGACTTCTGCAAGGTCCTGCTCTGCCACTATGTAGACTTGCTTGAAACCTTGCGTAAATCCGATTGCTTTCATGCTTGTTTTTGATTGCCCTGCTCCGTAGTCAATACCGATAACAACAGTCTGAAATGGCGGTAATTTATTAGATTTAATCTCAAACATCTGTGGATTGTCTGCATATTGTCGGTATATAACACCTTCAGCTGCAACCCACCGACCTTGTATATATCTTTCATAGAATACTCCGTCATACTGGTTCTTGTATTCCTCGATTTTTCTCTCTGATAGTGACGGATTGTCAGTCAATTCAAAGTGCAGATATAGTGCTTTCTTTCGTTCTTTGTCCTTTATCCATTTGCTGTAGAACCAATGGGATGGTGATGCAGGGTTACAAGAAAACCATTTTTTTGAACCGTCAACAGAGCATCTTGCAACAGCCTGATTGACGAAACTCTCAGGCATAAGTACAACCTCGTCAAGAAATATACCTGCTAAAGTTCGTCCCTGAATGAGATTTTGTGATGATTCATCTTTTCCACCAAATGCTTCAAACTCGTTGTGAACATTTCCGCATGAAACAAAAAGCTTTCTGCTTGAAGAATTGTATTTCAAGTTGTATTTCTGCTTTGCAAGTGTCATTCTGAGAAAAGGATATATGATATTTTCCTCAGCCGATTTAACAGTTTTTCCGCAGATTCCAAATTTTTGGTTATTAAAATTCTTCATTGCCCATTCAATGAATGCCCAAATCATTATTGAAGTTTTTCCGCTTCGGATTGCTCCGTCACATATCAAAGCATCATAATTCGTGAAAGGGAAAGCGAGAATTTTCATTTGCTGATTGCTTATCATTGCTCATTCTCCAAGCTTTCAGCGAGTGCTTTAAGTGATGCTGAAAGAGAATCATCTTCGGCAATATCTTTTATCTCGGTAGATTCTATAGCCTTTTCTTTTAGCTTTAATTCTCGCTTTTTCAACTTCAATTCCTCAGATTTAATCTTGTCAGACTGCTTTTCTCCCATAATATCCATGATTAAAGAAATCGCTCTTGTATCACCTTTTACAGCCTTATTCATCATAGAATAGGTTAATGCTTCACAGAAATTCGCTGTATCAGCGTTTTCCATTCCTGCTTTTTCAAGCGGTTTTTTCAGTCCGTCAGGAATTTCACTTTGAAAAAGCTCTTGAAAACAAGCTTTCATGTCACGTTTTTTTCTGCGTGAAGCTCCTGAGTTAATACCGCCTTTTTTTCTGATTTCTCTCTGTTCGCTCTCTGTTCGTTCTGGAAACGGTATCAAGTTTTTCTCATTCAACAAATCATTCCTTTAGTTTATTTTCACAGCCTTTTTACCTGTGAAATCTTCCCATCGTTTGATAATTACATCAACATATTTAGGTTCATATTCCATCATTAAACATTTTCTGTTTGTTTGTTCACAAGCTATAAGCGTTGAACCTGAACCGCCAAAAACATCAATAATTGTTTGTACTCCATCAACAAACCCCAGAATATCACACAAGAGTTTCTGAGGCTTACGATGCGGATGAAGTTGATTTTCTCTCGGCATATGTTCTCTTGCCACATTGAACACATTCCCACCAAATTTTTTGTATTTAATATTCCCTGAAAATACAACCGCTTCCCATTGCTCAGAAATCCCACCTGAGCCATTTAATCCTGCGTTCTTTTTATCCCACACTCCTACAGTATTTATCTTAAGTCCTTTTTCGCTTACACATTGCAGACTCTCCGAGAGTGTCCTCCATTGCAGGAAATATATCATTTTGTCTGTTGGAATTATATCCACAAATTTTCGAAATGTTGTAAGGTCTTCGTCCCCTTTTATAGTTTGTACTCCAAGTTGTCCTCTGCCGTATTTTCCGCTTTCTCCGTTACCATACAGAGGATCAGTAAACACCATATCAGCCTTTTCTCCGTTCATCAAGGCTTCTACGTCTTCTGCTTTTGTACTATCTCCACACATCAATCTGTGGTTTCCAAGCTGGTAAATGTCACCGAGTTTCGCCTTTGGTTCTGCCGTTTCATCAATCTCAGGCACTTCATCTTCCTGAATTTCGACTTCCTCAGGCTCAGTTGGAATTTCCCAATCAATCTCAAATCCGTCAAAATCAATATCAGGAATATCCTCAGAAAGCAAATCAAAATCCCATTCAGATTCATTCAGCTTATTATCAAGTAATCTCAGCTTGTTCGCTTCCTCTGGAGATAAGTCTTCCATTTTCACAACAGGGATTGTCTTGATTTTAAGCTTCTTTGCAGCAAGACAACGGCAATGTCCGATGATGATATTGTTATCTTTATCAACAACGACAGGCTGAGCAAAGCCGAATTGTTTAATACTTTCAGCTACATTGTCTATCTGAGTTTTATCATGTTTCTTAGCGTTTCTTGCATATGGAATCAGGTCTGCAAGTGCCATTTCAACTACTTTCATTCATTCACTTCCTTTTGCTCTTTACAGAAAAACCGCCCGAAGGCGGTCTTCTGCAAGAGGATTATTTTATGCCAAGTCAGCTGTTGGTTGCAGAGAGAGGATTTGAACCCCCGACCTCAAGGTTATGAGCCTTGCGAGCTTACCGCTGCTCTACTCTGCCTTTTATCCGAATTGCCGTCCCCATGCAACTCGGATTTTTACAAAAGGAGAACTAAAAAAATGAAAAAATATCCGAAGCATCATAGGATATTACTAACATTTCTGTTCTGTAATCATCTTACTTGATTTTCGGATATTTTCTCAACACAAATTCACTTAGATTCACTTAACTCTTCCCGATTTCATCATGAATTGTCAGGTAATTATAAAGTTTCACCTTTGCTTCTTTCATTCTTTTCTGCAATGTTGGACTGCTAATCTTAAGAACCTCGCAAGTTTTCTCCCATGTTCGTCCGAACATATAGACTTGCTTTAAAGGATTGATTAATTTTTCATCCCTTAATGCAATCAGGAGAATATCTTCTGCCTCTTCTGACTGACAAAGTATTTCTTCATAAGCATCTTGAAGCCGTTCTAACCGTCTTTCAATACGGCTGACTTGCACAGGACGTGATGAAATCATTTCTTTTTCTTGTTCCAGTCTTGTGATTTTATCACTAATTTCTTCAAGCCTGTTGCCAATTATTAAACGATTTTTCAGCCACAATGACACTTCTGAAATTTTCGTTTCATTTGTTAATTGTTTCACTTCACTTCTCCTTTTCCTCTAAATCTATCAATTCAAGCCACTTTTTCGCACAGGCTGCAACCTGAATCAATTCTTGTGCTGCAAGTATCGCATAGAATTTAACTTCTTCAATTCTGTTTCTAATTCTTTCATCGTCCCAATCGCTTCTTATCTCTCCCCATGCCATTTCAAAGAAGTTTCTCATTCTTGCAAGCTCAATATCCGCTTCTTCAATTTCCTCTTTCAAGATAGCATACGCTTCATGATTGCTGTGATACTCACCCTGTTCCTTTGCGTTTTCAAGCTCAATTTCCAGAGCTTCTTCAATCTGTTTTATACATTTTATCACTTCTCGTTTTCTCCTCTCACAGTAATTTCTTTAACTTCTAAGTCAATTCCGTATTTCTTTTCATAAAGCTTAACCAAGTCACTCGGTTTAGGTCTACCCTGCGGAGCAGGTGTGTTGAAATAATCAACATTCAGATTAAATCTATTCAGATAACGCTTGATTCTGCTTTCTCCGAACCCAAATTCGTGGATTAGAACCATTATTACAAGTGCTTGCATCTGCGGAACTATGTCCGCAGCGATGTAAGCATACTGGTCTTTGCTGATTTTATTTTTCGGTATTCTTGCTTTCATTTTTCACTATTTCCTTTGCTTCGTTGAGAATAATTAACGCTCCGCAGCCTTCGCCTGTGTCATATTTACAGCTTTCACAACGTCTGCCTGAGAAGATGCACTCTCCGTTCCTTTGGTCATTATATGCGAATGCCTCAGAAGTCAACTGAATAAGTTTGAGTAAGGTTTCTTTCATCATCATAATTCCTCATCACCAAAAATAAGCTTTATCAAGCAATCTTTATCAACCTGCTCCAAGTCTTTTCGTGCTTGTTCTGTTAGAATACCTGATATATACTTAGTAACTGTAATACCTTTTGATTTTGCCACTAATCTCAGTTTTTCGGCAATATCTTTCGGAAGATGAATGCTAAAACTACCATTTGCGGAACGTGATTTTCTGTATTTGTGTTCGCTCATTTATAATCCCTCCCACACTCTGACATTGCATCTTTTCGCCATGATCTGAGCTTCTTTTGTAAGCATAGAATTTGTTGCGACAACAGCAATCCCAGCTTTGAAAATCTTCTTTGCTGTGTAGGCTTCCTGCACCGCAGAAGGTCCGACTTTACCGCCATAGCACTTGCATTGCACTACAGTTCTTCTGAAAAACGGAAGTTTTCTTGCTATAATATCAGCTCCACGGTCACCAGAGTGACCGCAGACTTTTATAAAGCAAAATCCTTTCCAACGCATTTTCTTTGCGACTTTTCTTTCAAAATAGTCTCCTTTTTGCTTTGTGTTTTTAAATTTTTTCTTCATTGTTTTTCTCTCTTTCCGCTTCAAGCTTAAATAATTTTTCACGGAGAATTTCATTTTCTCTCCGCTGTAATTCTGATTTTTCTATCATAAGTTGAAGCAAATCATCTTTCTTTTTTCTTATTTTTCTATTACGTTCTCTGAATGCTTTCATGCTTTTTTGATGATCTAATTTATAAGCATAGTCTCTGCACTCGTCACAGTATTTCAAGCGGATGAACCGCTTGAAATTATCTGTAATGATCGGATTGCAACAAATAATGCAATATTTTTTATACATTATTGCCACTCCCCCGACTGCCGAAAAGCACTCTCCTGACCCCTTCCCCGAATATGCTTTTTTTTGCAGGGGAGAGCGTTTTTGTTACTGTTTTTGTAACGGCATTACTGTAAGTTTCCTCATAGACTTCAAGTAGGCGAATTCTGCATTTTTCTCTGTTCGCCTGAATCATAGTTTTCATGCTTTCGGTATTGTCTTCCATTCCGTCACCTATATCAATTTCAACCTCTGTTTCGTTGTTTCCTGTCTGCGTTTTGATTTTCGCTTTTCCAAGTGTCACTCCAAGAAGAGGCTGTTCTCTCTCATCGTGAGAGTTGTTATAGTAACTTAAATCCAGATTCAGCAAAGCGTTGTCATAAGCTTTAAGCTTTTCTGAGTAATAATGCAATTTTTCAATCCCTCGATTTAACTCCGCCCAGTTTACGGCTTTGTCAATCAGCTTTGCTTGTTTCTCTTCCTCCGTTGCTTTTTTGTATGCTGAGTATTTTTTGTATATATACCCTGCAAACGCTAATGCAGCAATCAGCGTGAGTTGTTCTTCCTCGGTCATAAGTAGCTCCTTTCTGATGCAGAAGTCGTTACAACCGACTTAACTTTTATCCAGTCATTTTCTTTTTCAACTTCCATTTCCGGGACTAACATGGTGATGATTCCGATGATTGCAAGGATCAAAAGGAATCCTGCTCTCTTGTCTTTCATTTTTTTAATTCTCCTTTTGCGTTTTTATCGTAAGCTTTTTAATGTAACTTCTACTCATCGTAGACTATCATCTTGTTTCCTTTTTCAACCTCCTCATTGCGATACTATCGACTCCTCACTTTGCCTTTGCTGATTCAAAGTACGCTTTCAAAGCTTCATACAACTGTTTTGCATCTATGCATGTTGAGTTATGACGTCCCTCATTATAAGCGATAACACAAAGTTTCCCAGTTTCTGGCTCGATATCCAACTCTACTGCATATCCCTCCGCATATTCAACAACATTTTCAAGCAACATTTCTATATCTCCTTGATTCTTATTCCGTGTATGTAAAGCATTAATTTTCGCTTGATAATATACTCTTTTGTTTTCATTCCCTTAACGTCTTCTACGACAGTTGTGTCACCGACGTTGTAGACGAAATCAGCCTTATAGGAAAGCTCTCTTTCAAGAAGCTTTCCAGGCTTAGGCTCGCCTTTGTGCAATCCCTTTTTGTATAGCTCAGTGCTTTCGCCGTACTGAGCAGGAATTAGCAAGTATTTTTTCTGCATTTCAAGATTTTTGATTGTTCCGATGCGTTCAAGAGATTTCAGATAAATGTATCGTTCGAGTTCCTTTTTGCTGTCGAAAACCATTCCCTGAAATGAGACTTTCTTTGCGTGATACTTACTCCTATTCTTCACTGTCCCTTAACTCCTCGAGATTGTCTATTATTTCTTTCAGTGTTTCTCTGACTGCTTGGCTTTCGTATCTGCAACGGCTGTAGACGCACATTGCGAATTCTTCAAGTCTCTGTAAGTCTTCCTTTGCATTTTCACTCAGTTTCATTTAATTTCCCTTTTCAATCTTGACAAAGAAACGATAGTTTTCAAATATTTCCTCTTTCTGCTTCTTTGCGTACTCCACATTTATCTTACTATTGTTAAATGCAGCATACAGCATCTTCAAAGCATCATATAGATATTTATCTGCAACAGTGCTGAGAACCAACTCAGCACCATTGCACGCATATTTTTGAATCTTTTTTATCTTGTTTTCTGATACAGTAATGTTATTTTTCATTATTCAACCAGTCACAGCACTTCTGTGCGATTTCTTCTGTGCTGAAATATACCAACGGGCATTCGTACATGAATATCTCTTTTTTTACGATGTATTTTTTTATTGTATGCATGTATTCAATTACGAATTTTGATTCATCATTTGATGTGAAATCCTGCTCATACTCTCTGTCATAGCACCATTTGAATGCTAACAGCTTATCGTTAAACATTTTTATGTTCTGAGCCAGCTTTGCGAATCTCTCGGTGTGGTATGCAGTGAACTGTCCACTGTCATGAATCCATTCAACACCTATCTTTCCATCAATGATATCATTATCATTGTCAATCTCGAAATAGGTTTCACCTTTTTTGAACCAGAAATCTTTCAGCACGTCCTCAGGCTCAGGATCAGGCTTTTTGATTGATTTCATAAGTTCCTGTGCTTTCTTAACTTCCTGAAGCTGATTGTACAAATCATTAATTTTTTCTTCAATATCATTAATTTTTCCTTCAATAGGCATATATTCATTACCCATAAAAATTCTCCTTTCATCTGCCTGATGCAGAGCATCAAGCAGATTTCCAATTTAAAACTTATTTACGAACATTTTGTATTTATCAACATCAAAATCATTTTTCTGATGTTGATTAACTTCGATTTGTTTTCTTCTTTCCCAGTTCCTCAGTGCAGCTTTCCAGTCTTTCATCTTACTGTTACCTATCATCCAGCCTTTTGCTTCGTAGTAGTCAAAAAACTTCTCAGCATCAATGCTGTTGTTTCTCTCAATGCAGTAAGCTTTGATTTCTTCGATTGTAGGCTTAGCGAATACAGAAGCTTTTTTCTTATTGATCGAGTACTCTGCGTTGATACCACTGCTTGCACTATAACAACTATTATTATAAGATATATTATCTTCTATATTATCTACTATATTATTAGGTAAAGATTCTTTACTGGGGTGGTAAAGATTCTTTACTGGGGGTGGTAAAGATTCTTTACTGGGGGTGGTAAAATTTCTTGACCACTGGTTAAGATTGTTTATCACCTCATGATTAACAGAATATTCGCAGAATTTTATCCCGTTTTCGTACTTTTCAAACTTTTTTATAAGGTCTTTTCCAACAAGACTTTTTAAGTTTGAAATTACTGTAGGCTTAGAAACGTTAATCCATTTTCCGAGATACGCTATCGAACCTCTGAATCTGCTGATTCCGTCTTGAGAAAATCCATATATGATAGCGTATATATTCAGCTCGTTGCCTTTTAAGTTAAGTTCGTTGAGCATCCATCCCTGTACGCAATAGAAGCTCTCGTTTCTAATCTCGATACCCATGACTTAAAACGGCACATCGCCGTCGGAGAGGATTTCTTCAAAGTCTCCAAGACTGCCATATGACATACTGTCATTGCTCTGAGCTGTCTGCTGTGGCTGTGCAGGCTCTGTTGTATAGCTTGTAGGCTGTGCGTTGTCTTGCTTGCTGTCAAGTAACTCTACGCTTTCTACAAGCACGTCTGTTGTGTAGTAGTACTCTGCGTTGATACCACTGCTTTGATAGCTGCCTGTTCTTAAACTGCCATGAACGGCAATTCGTGAACCTTTCTTGCAGTATCTTGAAAGAATCTCTGCTGTCTGTCTCCATGCCTGACAGCTGATGAAGTCAGCTTGTCTTTCTCCTGTTGTCTTGTCCTTGTAGTCTCGGTTGACTGCAAGTGTAAATCTCACACTTGCAACACCGCTCTGAGTTTGTCTGAGTTCAATGTCGGCAGTTAATCTGCCGATTAGCATTACCTTGTTTATATGCCATTCCTCCTTATTTATTTTCCTTTAACTTTATCATGCTTTGTATTTGAGCAGAAACCATGCTAAAGGCAGATGATGAAGTCTGTCCGAGCTGTGATGCTATCTGAGAAATTGCCTGCTCCATAACCATTGCCAATTCTGTAGGGAGCATATACGGCATTGCTCCTCCGTCTACCTTCACGCTGATACCCTTTTCCATGCTTGATTTAATTTCAATCATTTTTCATTCTCCTTTTTTGAATTTATAAATTTATCTATAGCATCCTCAAATCGTCTGCGTTCTGCATCCGTGGGGATAAGGATGTTATATTTTTCCTTAAATTTTTCATACTGCTTTCTTATAAGCGGATGATTCACGTTATACTTGAAGCCGTATGGATTGTCTTTCGTGTATATCTCCATTACCCATTCATGCACTTAGTGCAGACTGCATGACCGCCATTCTTTTTCTTGCTGTATTCGTAGACTTGTACGGCAGTCATTTTTTCATATTTTTCGCCTGTGTTCTGGTCTACGCTATAGAATGGCTCGAAAAGATTTCCGCACTTTTCACAGAATGGCTGAATCTGTGGCTGTTGTGCTTTTGTGTTCTTTGCAGGTGCAGTATGCTTTGTCTGGCTTGCAGCTTTGTTTCTCTTCTGATTTTCAAGCTCATCTGTGTCGTTGTCCTTGTTATCATCTATGCAGAATAAGCCATTTAATGCGTATTTTCTCGCATAGCTTGAAGCTGCTCCTGTTATCTGGCTTTCATCCATTCCTGTTTTCTTTTCAGCTTCTCTTGCAAGTGCTGAATTGCTGATGCTTTCTCCGCTTTCTCTGTCAAAGATAGTAGCGGTTGCTTTGATATAGTATCTTGAACCGATTTCAAGCACTTCATCTGATATAGTAAGTGTGCATCCGTTCAATTCAAGCATAGGTTTTAATGCTTCAAGGATATCCTCACAGCTTCTATATTGATACTTTCCGAAGCTGTTATACTGCCCTTTTGGTGCTTTTAAAGCTGTCTGGATTACTCCAAGCTTTTTAAGTATTTCTTTCATTTTCAATTCTCCTCTTCATCTTCGTCAAAAATCAACGGGCATTTGTGACCGAGATACTTCTCAGGATAATGCACCAACTCTTTGTTAAGCTGACACATCTTTGACATTCTGCTGTAGTAAGGGCAATTATCGCACTTCACATCCTCTCTGCCTTTAGAATCAACAGGGAAGAAAACTTCCACCACCATGTAGGCTCTTCTGTAAGATGCTACTCCGCTATCGAAATTAGGCATTTTCAAGCACCTCTCTCATTCCGTTGATGCAATCTTCACAGTAAAGATTTCCTTCAACTCTGTATGCTGTGTCTCCTTCTACAAGCTCGCATTCGCATTCATAGCAGTAACCCATGAATGCAGGTTCGTCAGCATTGGGACATCTGCTGTCGCATGGTGTGCAATGACACTCAGTACACATTTTTAATCCTCCTTTTATATTTCATTCTTTTATGATTCCTGCTCTTTTGAATCTACTATAGTAGAAATCTATGTCAGATCCTGTGCAATTTAGTCGTGCTTTCACTTCGTCTATTACAACTGTTCTTCCGAAACATCTATCCAGAATCCAAAGAATCATTTTAAGTTCTCGTTCCTGTGCTGCTGTTATTCCCATTCCTCTCTCCCTTTCTTGATAATCTCTGCGACAAGCTTTCGCTTGTCTAAGCAAATCACTATTTCCTTTTTGTTCTTCTTGTTAAGTAACTCTCTCAGATAGTCTGAGAACAGCACAATTATTGCCCCTGCTCCGATTGATAAGATTAAGCAGACCGGAACGAACAAACAGAAAATTGTTAAGTCATTCATGACAACTGAAGCTCCTTTCCTACGAAGTCAACAAGCTTTACTCCTGATGCTTTGCAGAGGAGCATTGCTTCTGCAATCGTAAGTTCAAGCGGATTGTCAAGCTTCCGCTTGTAAGTCGGACCGCTCATCATGAGCTTTTTCGCTATGATGTAGTTCGGTTGATTG